GGGAGGGGGAGGGCAAGAAGACAAGATGAAGTGGTGCAGGGGGTGGAGGGGCAGGGCGGGGAGGGAGAGTCAAGGTAAGAACCAGTGCCAGAGCAGAAAAGCAAGGAAAGTTATTGGCACCCCCTAGTGGTGTAGAAACATCATTGCAGAAATTAGTGTCAAGTAAAAAGGAGAAGTGGAAGGAAAGGCAGAACAGAACGGAAAGAGGAGCAATGGTGAGAGAGGTTGGGAGGAGATGCCTGTGTGGTGTGTCCACGCCTCAGACCTCTCTGACCCCAGGAACTGGTCATATCTCCTAAAGGTCCAGTGAGAGTATTGAAAACCAGGCCAGTGGAGGGAACTACAGTTGACAGTTGGGGTAAGGATGGTCATCTTGGGGCAGAATGAGGAAGCATGAAGTCAGCGGATGTCCTCGTAACCTTGGGAGACCGGGCTTGCGGACGTCCCCACAAAACCGAAACGTGGCATTTGACACACCTGCAGCCTGCCCCCTGCAGGTGGATGTGAAAAGTGGGCTGTCCCTTTTTATTTGATCCACCAACCGCGGTGGGCGGATGGGCGTGACATCAGAGCCTGGCGTGGGTTGGCTCCTCCCCCTTCCCCAATAACCCCCGCACCTTTCATAAGCCTCACCCAACAGCCTTACCGGTCCTGTGGACGGAGACAGGGGAGTCGTCCTGGTCGCTGACCAAGGCCTTCTCCCGCAGCCTGAAGAATTCCCGCGGGTTATCGGCCCTCTGGGCGATGATGGCTGCCGCCTCCTGGCACAAGAACAGGAACGCGGTTTGAGCCACATGCAACGCACAGCCCTACTGACACACATACAGGACACGGCGTCAGAGCTCCGCTGGGCAGAGACAGATATATCTACTGCCTGGGGAGTGGTACCACATCAGCCGCTAGTAAGTAACACACTGCCCCTAATCCTGGAAAATAATACGCAGAGCGACCTGATAACTATCCATCATTCCAGAAAAAGAAGCCCACGATAATGTTACTGACTCAGCAAAGTGCGATATAAACAACCTCAGCAGACAAGATGAAATAATTTTTTGAAAAACTGCCAGCTCTTTTTTTTTTATGTCTTGGGCTTACAGTGCCCCCTAATGGAATATTCCGAGAACAACCCACCTCCACTTCTGACTCCTTCTTGTCCTGAGCACTGTCGTCACAGCTTGGCTCTGTCTGCAGAGGGAGTAGGGGGTTTTAATACTCGCTGTGCAATTCCCCACCAGCAGAGGGCAGCAAAGCATACGCGCCCCGCATATTAATACAACCTATCACGCGAAAGCGATGCATCTGTTGCATTTGCGCCACCACTGCACGGTTCACCTTACAGCGCATCCAGAAACAGCCGCTAACGCAATGTTTGCATTATGTTTTGACAGTGGGCCACAAGGGAAGCGAGCCCCCAGGAGAATGTACGACTTTTCCTTCTGTTTTCATTCACGCGGCGGAAATGCGGCTGGGCCAGAGCATGTGAACCTCAGAGATTTCAGCGTTGGCTCACACAGGCGATGGCTGGAAGGGCTTTGAAATGAAAGCACGCCGGCCAGATGGAGTTTCATCTCATGCAGAAAAAGCCCTTCCAGTCCTTTGCAGACAGTAACCCTGATTCATTAGCGGTTGCGGGGAATAAAGAGCGAAAAATCTTCCGCGGTTTCAAATGTAAAAGTAGACTCATGGAAGTGTCCTCACTATAAGGGCCTGGGCTCTTGTCTTTTCTCTGGCCTCCTCTTCGTCCTGCATCTTCTTCCTATACAGGCAGACAGAGAGGGGACGTTGTTACTCGGGACTATATGGAGGGGACGTGGCTATCGGTGGGGCAGTGTGCGGGGTGGTGGGCGGGACCTGTGCTCCTCGATCTGCTGCTCCCTCTCGCGGTACCGCCGCTCTCGATCCTCCTGCTCTCGCCGCTCCAGCTCCATGCGCTCCTCCTCAAACCGCTGCCGCTCCTCCGCGGCCTTCTTCCGCTCCTCCTCCTTGCGCAGCTCCTCCTCACGCTGTGGGGAGCGAGGGGTGGGTACAGAGGAGGGGGGGGGGGGTGGAGGACGGGGGGGGGGGAGAGAGAGAGAGAGAGAAAGAAAGAGGGATGGAGAGATGGAAAGAAAGGGATAGAGAAAAGGAGAGTGAGAAGAATATTGAAAGATAGGAATAAAGACAAGATAGTCACACAGAGGGATAGTAAAATGGACAGATAATTATCCTTAACTAATGCCCTTACTGACCTAAGTACTTCAGACCTCACTGAATGTTTTTCATTCTCCCCTGGCTATGGTCATAGCCCTTGACGACGTGCTGACCCCATACTGACTGCTCTCTGGAGCCCCGGGGACGAACATGCACGACCTTCACATGAAGCCCATAAACCGAGTCCTGAATTCCTCCTCCTGGGTGGGACTTACAAGGACCCACAGGTAAACCGGCTCCAGGCCTCAGGTACACCATACTTTCGTGATTAGACTTTTTGGCGAGGCAGCAAAATATTTGGGAGAGAGACCGGGGTGGAGGGAGGGATCGCAGGGTCCAGATCAAGCCTGCTTGCAGCCTCCCGGTCCACCTCCCCACCCGTCGGTACAGTCTGGAAGAGCTGCATGAGCTGGCGGAGAATCAGACCCCACCTTTGCCTGCTCCCAGAATTCTTCTCTGTTGATTTTCTTCATCTCGATCTCCGCATTGGTCTTCTGGTAGGTGGTGCCCTGTTGTGGGGACAACGAGGATTGAGACAGTGTACCACATCTGCATGGTGCATGTCCTCTGTCCCCTCCTGTGGTTTGGATAGTCAGCCAGCAGTGTGGTTCGACACAGAGGACAAACTGAGCCTGTAGGCTGTGATCACCAGGATCCACATGTTCGCAGGATCACGTCCCAGAAGAACCAGTGGAAACAGCCCCCATTAACTGCATTATGGATACTCAACCAGGCCGAACGGGAGCACATCCTGGTCAGGACGCCCGCAGACCACGTACCACGTTCTCGGGCTGCTCCTCGTCTTTCACCCGTAGCCGACTGAGCACCGGACTCGCCACGTGGGTCGTGCCGTTGGTCAGCTTTTGTCCGATGGCAGAGGGGTCGATGTCGTCCACGCTACTGGCGTTGATGATGACGTTGACCCCCTACGGGGAGAGGGAGGTGGTAAGTCACACATGAAATATGAGTTGGGGCCATGAAGAAAACCACAAGACGGTCATTTTTTTCTCACAAGACTTTTTCGTGTCATCGGGTGTTATTTGCATCAACAATGAAATGAGATGAAAAAAATAGCTTGGTGAAGTGGGAGGGGCTAACCACATCACCCACAAAGGCCCACCCGTGCAAGAAATCACAGCAGCATCACAACATAACCTAAACCACACTCCGCACAATGACTCCCACCCAGTCTGACGCTAATGCTAAAATCTAGCATCTCCTCCCATGACTTTCCCACTTAAAAAAACAGCCTGAAACAATAAGATAAGTGGTCTAGGTCTAGCAGCGGCACTAAAACAGTAACTTGCATGCATGTTTCGAAATGTGCACTATCAACGCAGCTTTAAATACCAGCGCGATGAGAAACGTTTGGCATTAATTTGCTTTAATTTGACAGGATGGTGTCCGTTCGGCCTGAGAGTGTCTGTCACAGTGTGAGTCCCTCCGGAAAGAACAATACACCATACACAGTCGGAGTCACGGTCTGACTCACCATGGAGGTTCCTCTGCCAACATCCTATACAACCATGTGGTTAACCAAACGGCAGGGAAAGGAGACAGGCAGCAAGTAAGCGATCGCATGACAAAAGGCTGGGTAACGCCACCTGTTTCAGGTGGGTGGTGGTCTCAGTACAGCTCAGGGGGCCAGACACACATGTCCTATAAAACCTAATACTGGATTGCAACACTCTGCAGTGACAAAGATTAATACAACGACAGCCTCCTACAGCATTATAATCCAGGATTATGCCTTTCCCTAGAGGGGGGGATGGGGGGGGGGAGATACAGAAGACTTCACACCACATGGAGTGCTCAGCTGCATCTCCATCATCTTGTTTCCCAACATGTCACAAGAGTCATTAATGTAGTCACCTTGGACAAGCCAAAACATACCCGTAAGCAATACATGATCTTATTTAAACACCAAAGGGGGGCTCAGATACCTCAGTCAGGGGCGAAGCGGTAAAACAAGAATCAGAGGCAGAGAAGAAGGCCGGCGGGGAGGTTCACCTTGGAAGGACTGACCTGGAAAAACTCAGCGATGGTGGCTACATGGCTAGCACACGCACACTTCCTGGCATCCGGGACATCTTCACCAACCTGCCAATGGGGACACACGCGTTAAAAAAACGCCGGGTTTGGATTGGCTGTTATTCCTCAGTTATATCACATGATCACTTCGTGACCTATCACTGTGCAAACCAAGTTGTTTTTTAGGAAAGTGGCGTAAAAAAAAAAAAACACATTTTGTATACGCATCACATTTAAAGTATCAACCTCTAGTCTGGTTGCGAGTTGCGTTTGTACCACTGCGCTTCCCACCGGTGCTTGTTTGTGGGGATTCACAGGCAGACGATGAGAATAGCTTATATAATTACATATTCAAAATAGGAACACCAAGCTTTTAGCAATTTTCCATTATATAAGCCTGGATTAGTGCATGTCAGCCCCGTGTTTCCATTAGTTCCAACTGCCAACGACGGTAACATTTGGCTGGTTAAAAATCATAGCACATAGGTCCTTTGTCCCCCCCACAAATGAATAACATTAATGAATATTAATTGATGAAACGCTGACAACAGTGAAATCACAATCCTTGTCTGGAATTTAACCCTGGGTTGTAGGAGAGCTAATTTGTGTACTTTCCACAACGGGCGAAATGTAATAGGGACTCAGTCAGAAACCGGGTCGAATTCAGGAACTGGACCAAGAAATAAAGCCTGATTTCATGGATAAAGGACAGGAACAACATAATAATCCTCTCCAGATAATAACAGATTTAATAATAGCGTATTTTTAATGTTTTCAGATCACGCATCTGTGCCCGTTTATGGTTTGGAGCTATTACTCATGTCTGTAACCATGACGAGTGATGTCCTCCTGAGAACAGGCTGCTAATTAGCACCCGAGGATAGAGCACTGAAAACTGTCCGACCCAGGTGAAAGGGATCTGCCGGCAGGCTACCTCTCTGGACACGTCACATGGAGAGGAGGCGGAGTCTCTCATGCACATCAGTTTGGCCTATGAGATTGGCCTGGATTGACGGGACATGCGTCCTGGCCTGCTCACTCACCCAGTTGATGAGGATGTAGCGTGGCAGAGAAGCTGCAGGATCCTTGAGGCTGCAGAAGCCATACATGACAAGGGAGCTGTCAAATTTCCCAGAGACCTCTAGCAGCCCGCCCTCTAAGGGAGGAAAAGGTGCACCATGGGTGAGACGATTCACAAAAGGTCACCATGGTGACAATACGTATATGTTGTATATATGATATATGATATGGTACAATAAAATATTTCACATGCAGTCAACCTTGTCGCCACCAACTATAATGGCTCCTCTATGGATTATCTAAACCCTTTTGAAATTAAGCAGAACTGAATTCTGGAAATACCAGGTAAGACTTTTCATGATCTGGGGTGGGAGCGTCTGTGTGCAGGAAACACAGAGGAGTGATAGACCCATGGTAGAGTGCCATCTAGGAGAACCCACAGCAGCATGAACTCCCTGGCAGAGGTGGAAATTTCAGGTCCAGAAATTTAAAAATCCAGACCAAGATTTTGTTTCAACCAATCCATTGAGTACTCTCTGAATGTGACTCTTCATACTGTACTGGCGAGTTGAAACAGAATGTTAGTCTGCATTTTTACATTCTGGACCTGAAATTTCCACCACTGGTCTCCAGTAAATTCTAAGTAGATCTTCTGTAGACTCTCTGGTAGGCTCTCCAGTAGATCTCATGTAAATTCTCTGGCAGATCTCCAGTAGACTGCCTGGCAGATTTCAGGAAAACTCTGGCAGATCTCTAGTAGACTCTCCGGTAGATCTCTAGTACACTCTCTGATAAATGGCAAAGAGTCCACCTACCTCCTGATGACGCCAATGCCAAGTTGTTGCCATCATCCTCATACGTGTACACAGCCCTGCAAAAAGAGGAGAATTGCTGTGAGCAGCGGCAGCCCAGGAGGTTAAACCACATGTTTACTTTCAAATTGGATTCCTGTTCCACTCGGCAGACCAAAAAAATGAGGGAAAGGGCAAATGTCACTGCAAGTTACTTTCACCTTAACCTGAGCACAATCATAAGCGACGTTCTGCAGAAGGTCATTAGTACTGAGGAGGGGAAATGCAGTTTATTTATGTACACCAAGCAAGAGCAGCTACTGCATTGGCTTTGACAACTCCCCAGCTTCAGGCAAACTGGGAATGTCTTTCTAATGCGGGTCTGAAGCTTCCTTCAAAGATAAGTCAGGCTTGGGTACATTGTGCATCTCACAGAGCAACTAAGACGGGGACCGAAAAATGGTACCAATTGAGATCGTGTTACCAGTCAACCAGGACCTTCTGGAGGAATGCAGGCAGAAAATGACATCACCAGCAGAGAGCCAAGGACCCCCAAGGTCGTCTGTACTAGAATGACATCATCATCTACTGAGGACCCGGGAACCTCTGGCAAGACAATCTGCACCATTGTACCCTCAAGCAAAGAAAGGGGCGACCTTTAACCTCCACGTTTAACTTGTTACGTATACCGCGGGAGCACCAAGACAACCCATTTGTTTCCAGAACCAACAGAGGGTCCTTGCAGCTTTTGTTGCATGCAAACACAGCGGGTGAAACCTAGAGTGCCAAAAATGCAGAGGGCCCCGCTTGCCAGCAACGGCCGTTCCCGTTTGTCAGAGCAAAAAGGTTCCCTCCATCTGAACCATGAGCCAGCCAATGGGGGTACATGTTTAATTAAACATTGGGGCAGCTGACAAAAATACATGGTAGAAGGCAACCATAAAGCAACTGGTCAGGCCAATGGGAACGGCACTGCCGTCGTCCCGGAGACTCAGGTCTATTCTGCTGGTGTCCTTGGGGAGGGAGAGGACGCGATGTGAGAGAGTTGGGGAGGAGGGTTTGGGGGGGGGGGTAGTAATGAGGTACATGAAGGATGCAGAGTCACCACTGCCTTGCGTCATAATTATTATCGGACAGGAATAAAGGCGCGATTTCGATGATGTGGGTGGTGAGCAAGGAAGGCTGGGGGGGAGCAATATTAAATCAGCCATTAGGTCTGAAGCACCACACTAAAAACAGAGTCGAGCTGAGCCAGTGATGGTCTAGGGGCCAAGAGGACAAGGACAGCAGGTTTTTTTTAGAAGGGCTGTTGTTTACAGATGACAGGCTAATAATGAGAAAGAGACGAGTTCTGCTTCACTAGAGTTCTGCTTCACCAGAGGAATGGACCAGGTCAAAGGAGGGCTTCGCCATGCTGTCAGGGCCCCCGTGGACAGGTTTCCCCACTGAGTTCTCCCACGGTGTTTTCGGAAACCCGTAAACTGTCAAGCAAGTGCATGCTAATGCTAACCTCCCATGGAGGGTCGTCATGTTGTACTGTAACGGGTGCTTGCGAAGAAATCAGGGGAAAAAAACAAGAATAGTCAGTATATTTTTGGGAGAGGTGTGAGAGGAGAGGGGAGCCACTCCGAGCTTGTTAGCACCGTTAACGAGTAGCGTCAGCATACTGAAACATCCTTAAACAGATGGACACTAACAAGACTGGCCCAATTGCCTTGGGCAGCACAGCAACCTTCCTTACTTTGAGATCTTGCTGTAGACTGATCACCGTGCTTTTTCTTGATAAATTATTAAACCTGCACAAATGTGTTTCTGGATCGCGGTTTAACACTGTGCCCATCGCACACATATCAAGCTCTTCAGCTGTGCCAGCTTCCTGTCCCTCATGTAGTGGCTATATGCTCGCCAAGCATTCTGGGTAAATATGGGATACCGTGCCCTTTGCTGCTGGCGAGCTCAGCTGGCTAAATGTGGTTTTCTTGTTTCTTGACCTTTGATTTCTCTCGAGTTTCCTTTCGAGCCTTAACCCCTCACATGTTTCTTTGTGTTACTTCCTCTGGGCAGCCAGTCGCAGGCCGGCCTCAGAAATAACATCCACATCGATCAGTTCAATCCCCTCCAGACCCAAACACACGCTGGAGTGAGCGGACACCCCGAAAAACCCACAGCTTCCTTTCGAAGCCTGCTGAACACTGAGGCAGTGCCCGGTAAATGTCCGTCCCTCATTCTTTTTACAAGCCTCTCACACAGAGAACTTCTCTCTACTCAATGGCTTCTCTCTACTCAACAGGCCACTGCCCCTCACCCCCCCGAGTGCCAGAGTAGCTAACCCTGCCCAATGATGGTGACTCAATGGCCAGGCATGCCCACCCCCCCCCAGTGAGGGCCTCACTCAATTCCCAACAATGACCCATCCCACTACCCAACTCGGGTCCCCAACCTCACTGTCCTGCTACATGGAAAACAGCAACAGAGAGGGGGAGAGACGAAAAAGAAGAGCGACAGAGAAAGAGTGCACCTCACTCACTTCCCCATGCACTATAAATAATTTCTTTTTCAAGCTGCTTGTTTCATTATTCATAAAGGCTCCTGTGACCTAGAAACGTCCTATACAACTTGGGGGGGGGGGGGGACCACCAAGAATTGCGAGTAGAGACCCCTCTGGTGTCTTAGACGACAGAAACAATAGGGTAAAAGCATCTTAACCACAGCACTGATTGGTCCCCCCCCCCTAACAATCAAGTGTGAGGTTGAGATGAGGAGCAGTCTGACCAATAGC